GATGTCTCTGCTTTTTAAGATGCTGTTGAGGTTTGTCATCGCTTTCCTCCCAAAAAGCAGGCGTCTTTTAATTTTGTGGCTGCTGTCTCCATCTGCAGTGATCATGGAGCCCAAGAAAGTAAAATTTGTCACTGCCTCCATATCTTACCCTTCTATTTGCCAGGAGGCGATGGGACCAGTAGCCATGATCTTAGTTTTTTTGATGTTGAGCTTCAGACCATTTTTTGCACTCTCCTCTTTCACCCTCATTACAAGATTCTTTAATTCCTCCTCATTTTCTGCCTTCAGAGTGGTATCATCTGCATATCGGAGGTTGTTGATATTTTTTCCGGCAATCTTAATTCCGGCTTGGGATTCCTCCAGTCCAGCCTTCCGCATGATGTATTCTGCATATAAGTTAAATAAGCCGGGGGACAATATACAGCCTTGTCGTACTCCTTTCCCAATTTTGATAGCGACTAGAAACAGCAATTTAAAGAAGACAGGACACTCAAAAGAAGTGGGAAGAGGCTCAAAGGGTGGTAATGAAAGGCAATGGAGAACAGTGTGCAGGGACCACTGTTGTGGAGGTGAAAGTCAGGCTGGATGCAGGTTAGCGACACCTCAAAGGAACTGCTTCAGAGTAGGATGTCTGAAGAATAAGGCAGCATCTGAATCCTTCAGTTGGTAGGCTATAAGAGTGGACATATAAACTTTAATCATAGACAATGAGAGATGACAGTCAAAGAGATAAGAAAGAAAGGCCAAAACCACAGGGAGGGTACTTGAAGCCGTATGGAGATTATTTTGGCGGGCAAATGTCTGGAGGGCAGAACATTTATAAGCATAAAGTCAATTTGTGGCAAGTTTTCTCGCGTGAGAGAGGGTGGTGTTTAGCGAGGGTGGATCTTCCAAGCCGTGAGATGGAGAGATTGTAGGTTGGTATGGTAAGTTTGCCCCTGATGCTGGGCGAGAAGGTGTGGGAGCAGGTGTAGAGAGATGGATTGGCAAGCTATCAACCTGAGCATCATGAACCATGGTTGTCTTGGCCATCAAGGGGCTATCAGAATGGCGTTTGAACAGTCGTGTCACAATTTGACAATGGTCCACAGGAGAAGTGGAATTGGTGGAAAGAGGTAAAGGAAATGCATACAGTATTCCAGTTTGCCATGATAGCATCGCCAAGGAAGCCTTGGCCCAGGCCTGCTCTGGAGAAGTACTGCAGCATCGCCAAGGAATTCCAGTTTGCCATGACAGCATTGGCCCAGGCCTGCTCTGGAGAAGTACTGGAAGCATTTGGCGTTGATTGCTGTGCCGCTCTTGCGAGGTAGTGATCGAGTTGAGTGATCTGACTTACGCTTCTGAGGTTTCTACGGTGCTGGGCGAAGGGCCGGTATAAGTCATGGTGACCTGTAGGGATGATGAATGGACTTGAGAAAGAGTAGCCATATCGGCCGTCAGTATGGAGGGCTTGGTCGCCGGTTTTGGCTTCTTCGGTACCCAGGTTACCAGAACTGGAGCTGCTTGAGTATGCTGTTTATGAGGTTTCTTATGGGGCTTTGGTACCAGAGGAGGAGGAGCACCTTCATCATCTGATGACTGATTGTAATAGTAGCCAGACTGGTACCGAGGAGGTGAGGGGGACTCTGAAGAATCCAAAGAGTAGTAGTATGCATACCAAAGGCACTTGGGTTCAGCGTAACGTTCAGTATCATGCTGCCAGTACTGGTGTGGATGATGCCGATACTGACTAGGCTGTGGTTCATAGTAAGCCGGAGGCTCATAAATGGTGACTCGCTTGGGCTGGTGTTGTCGAGCCCAAGAGTCCTGTGATACCGACAGTCTCAAAAATCTCAGAGGCTGTGAGAGAGCGATATCGGAACAGCCAGTGTCCTCAATGTGGTGAAGTTTAGCTCTCTTTTTCTGCAAAGGCACTGGATCAGCAGAGACAGATGCTGATTTAGACTCACACCTGGACACAGAGCAACCCAAAGATTTTGGGCTTGAACAGGCCGAATAAGGCAATACAGTTACCTCAGCTGAGGTGTCTGCCCAGGAGGGAGATTGAGCCAACAGAGGAGAAGGCGGTTGTCCAGATGAAGACAGAATGGATTTGTGGTCAGTATCAAGATCAATAGGCGGTTGATCCTGTATGGGAGGGTGTTGTACCGGTGACTGAGCATCGATGGAAGACTTCTTCGGTTTCTTTGGTTTGGTACTGGCCGGTTTTGAAGTGGATTTCAATGTCAGAATCGACTGAGATGCTGATCCAGAGGACTTAGACTTAGGCATTTTTGGCTTAGATTTAGGTGTTGGCAACGGAGAGTTGGTAGCAGAAAGGACCGGTGGTGATTGTGAACCCTGTGTCTCATCCATCTTGGATGGGGGATGAAGAGATTGCTCCCACAAGAAAGATTTAAGGCACTATTGGCAGAGTTTGATGGCTTGTTTAGTAAAATTTTTACAATGGGAGCAGGAGGCCGGTTGATGCGATTCTCCAGACAAAACAGGCAAGAATCGTGGCCATCAGACACAGGCAATTTATTCATGCACAAAGTGCACCTCAAACAGCCTTGTGGGGGCCATATATGGTGGGAACGGAAAGGAAGAGGGGAAGGGGGAAATAGTGGAAGGAAAGGGGCGAATCCAAATCTCACAAAATAATAACAAAGAGAGTCTATTCTAAATAACAACAATACGATTATTATGTTTCCTTGGGAAAAAGAACCAGATTGCGTGAACAGAGAGCTCAACAGAAGATGAGACCTCAGCGGCGGCAAAAAGGAATTGAGGCAGTTGTAAGGCCAGGTGAACCACGTGTACTAAGGGGGCTGTCCTAGCGAATGCATGTTTGAGCTCTAGAATATTCCAGAGACCTCTGCGCAGGCGCAGATTAAACCCATTAGTGTGCATTCACAGAGACCATGAAGAAGAACCTATCACTATTGACCAGGCAGACCGGTATTAAAGGGAACTGGAGTTCAACAGTAGTGATGGTACGCTCCCACTGCTGCAATATAATTAGCAGCACAAAGGTTGAACAATGCAAGAGAGTACAGTCTGCAGGCTGCAATGTCCAGTTTTCTTCCTTCTTTATTATTGGGTGTTGTAGAGAAGCGGTTGCGTGCTCTGTTTTTAGTTGCATCAGCTATTAATGAATTAGGTGGTGGGTGTTGTAGAGGAATGTGGTGTCAGTCCCATGAGTTCTGTAAAGGTTTTGACTTTACATGAGATTTGTGGG